AGAAAGGGTGGGGTGTCTTAATTGCCATATTTTAGAAAGGTGGAGGGTACCATATGGGCCCGAAAACTGCCCCAGCCTTCTTGATATCTTTCAGTGAGACAGAAATATCGCTTACGCAGTCGGGTGTTCAAAGAGAGAATTGAGGTAAAGATGACGTGTCACAACAGATACACGAATTTGTAAAGTATACTTTCAGAGTCTCGAAAATATCAGCAGGATCATCGGTAAACTTATTGTCCAGCGAATGAAGGATATATCTGGTCTACAGGAGTTGAGCCTCTTGAAGCAAAGCTCACAGACTGAGCTCACTTGAAAGTGGCTGTCAATAACCTCTTTTTCTTCTGAGTACTGATTTTTCTTCAGTCTCCTTGATGACCAGCTAGATATTGTAAGTGATGAACAGCACTGAGAAACTTTTGTCAGTGATGCAATGTCGGTGAACTTTTCGTGGTTTTGACCCCTTATCACTTATAACAAAGTCCCCTGCGCTGCGATTGGGTTTTATCGTACATTTCGGGACCAACTAAATGAAATATAGAAGGATATTTCTATAAAGCTGAGTGACGATAGTATCCAGGTCTTTGCATGAGAAGTTCAGGTCCCAGTCTAGACAGCGCAGGATGTGGGTGGGCACATCCCGCTCAGCATTCTGAAAGCATGTGGCCGGGGCTTTTGAAATAGGAGGCAGTTTAGAATAGGGATATATTGTGGTGTCGACTGAGCCCGTAACCACGTTATGGTTACCTCCCGTAAATACATGACTAGTGTATGTTAGGGCGGATAGGATATGTCCACTAAGTACGATACCTAAAATGCTGTTGCCTCGAGCTTCCTCAGGGACATTTTGCGCCCATTTGCAAAATTTAAGTGGGTCTAAAAAACTACCACACCGGGGTGAGGCACGAATAGGCCCCCAACAGATGGCAGGGAAGCCAGGGTCATCCCCAATAATCTTGTTGCTGAAAGTTGATCTAGCAGCGTAATGAAGGACAGCAGTCATTTTGTTGTGGTTTTTATTGTGTTTCGGCTTTTGGTATATTCTTCCGGGCCGAACAGATGCCAGGCAGGGAGGCTTACCAGTAGCCAGGCTGCGTCATTTACATCCAAATTTAAAACCTCATAATATGTAACCCTCAAATCTGATTCGGTGTGGATAACACAACCGCCACTTTGATCGGTGGGCCCAGTCCCTGTGAATAAAACATGTCCTTCTCAGTAGAAGCAGTTACCGTCTATGTTTCATGTGCGCCATGCCTCAGTTATCAGCAGCGCAGAAGACCGGAGAGTTTTTATTCAAGACAGCTTGTTCACTGAGGGGCTTGCGTCCATGAAGAAAATGCTGAAACCGGTCAAAATGCATCTCAGAACCTCGATTATTTCGCAGACCGGTCGGTGATGTGACTCATTTTGTTTCTCGTCGAGCGACGAAGACGTTTCGTCAGTGGCGAAACCAAGAAAGAATAATTTTGGCGGGCAGGGGGAAAAATTAACGAGTTTGAAGGGACTGAATCTGAAAAGTTGGCAGTAGCATGGTTTAAACCTGAGGATAGGAGTGGGGTAGATGAGGCTTGCAGGAAGGATAAACAAGAATCTGCCGTAGGATTCGTGGATTGGAGGTCGTTTAGATAATCAATTTGACCGTCTGCATGGCATATTTTAGTTGAATCCCGAAAGGTTGAGTCTTTGGTGCGTGACGTGACTGTTTGCACCGGCAGCGTAACCTATGGAAGCGTCTGAGCCAGAAAAGCAAATCGGATTTACTGTGTACAGACTGGGAGCAAGAACGCTTTGTTGTGTGAATAAACCAGTGGTTTTAAATGTCTTAAAGTATTTGCACGTTTGATAGATCGTGAGAATGAAGAATTATTTCCCTATTTCGCGTTACCATAGTTGGGCACCAGTTGGCCGGGGTAAAGTATCTGGAGGCTGTTTAAGTAATCACACCAGTTGCAAGGCTTACAATGCAGCCCTTGGGCGGGGACGTGATAAAAAATGATGCACGTCCTTTACACTGAATCTGGCTTCTGATGAATCTTCGAGGAGTCCAGTGGATGGATTTCTGTTGAAGGAGTGGGCAGTACGATTGTACTAAAAGTCTGAACGCTGATGGTCCACACACAGGGCGCCGTCACTGGGGTAAGTGTCTCCTGCATGGATCTATGTAGCTACTAAAGTCAGTGACCCCTATTTGAGATTCAGGTCAACCTATGTGGCTAGTTCCTGTCGTGGCTTAAGAGGAGTAACTCGATTTGTAAGGCAAGTGCGCACAGGAAGTTGAGGGATAAACCATTTCTCCAGTGATGCTTAACCAACCGGAGGGTTTGCTGGGCTGTTTGGGATGATTTGAAGTAGAAACACTCCATAAGATACTTGCGCTTGAGTTTTTAAATTCACTGGCTAATAGCCGAATCCCAATATCCTCAGTCTCGGATAATGTCTACAATACCTTTGACTAATGGTGTATAACGGAAAAATTTTCCTCAGCATCAACGACAGACACTTACTTATGACGTGACAATTTATGACTATTTACGCATCCTCACCTGCCCGGAGGGCAACAAGATTGAGATAATGCCTGTAGAAATAACGTGTGTTCATGTAACTCTTAGTTGTAAATAAGTTGCTAACTAGCGTCAGATTAAGTACATGTAACCGTGGGGGGACGGTCGATCAAAAACATTCCTTACTAACTCTCGGAAAGTTTCAGTCAAGTTGGCTGAAAAGTAGTTGGCAATGACGGAGCAACCTTAGGGCTGGCTTGAAACATACCCAAGACCCACGTCGTACGCAAACCAGTGAGCCACCGATAAATCCTCCTAGTGCCCAACCAAACCCTTGTTCATGCAGTGCAAATTGTGGCAAATAAAAGGGTATAACCGCTGGCTTCAATGAACAGGTTGTTGCTATGTACGAAATGTCGCATGCCTATGACGTCAAAAAGATGAAATCCCCTGAGTGCCTAAGTTTCATTTTCCCAGGAAAGACGTAAAGGTGCTACTTCTCTTGGCATTCGTCGACCGTACGAGCTGGGAAATGTCACGGTAGAAATAAGCACTTCAGTACTGTATAAAATATGGTATGAATTATTAGCAGGTCGCCGTGGACTCTAGAAACCCAAATTGAAGGCCTTACTTAATCCTTAAAAGGGGATACTAAGTGACCACCAGTGTTCTACTCACGTATTACTTCAACTTATGTGAGTTAGTGGCGGCAGGGGTTCAACAGATTAAATTAGTAAAAAAGCAGGATTTCGCTAGAATGCGAACGAGAGCTATGCGATTGGGACGGAAAGAGTGAATATTCAAAAGTTTCAACCCATTTCTGCCAATAAGGAAACCCCTAGCAACCAGCTATTGATAGGCTTTATTCGGAATGTGAGTGAGTACATTGTTACGGGGAGCACTTAGAGGAGTGTGGATCTAGTTGTGGCCACACGAATCTGATGAGGAAGGTGGAAGAGGGAAATTTGAATCTACGACTCAGAAGGCACGCAGTTTGCACTTGCATTTAGTTATAAACCGTAACTTACTAGCGACAGAACTTGACAACGAAGAGACGGGGCAGCCTGAAGTTAAAACTGAAATGTCAATAAGTAAGATTTCGAAAGCTTTACGCACGGTGATACGTAGCTTACAAGCGAATGCCTCACTTAGATATAGTTACAGTACCGTGGTACAGTATAGTGCTTTGGGCACCACAGAGTCTTAAGACTGGAAGTTGGCCTAACATTGGTTCTCATGGCTCTACATAACATGCCGAACTTGCCGACTGGGCCAAAGCCAGCTGATCCTTAAACTTGTATTAACGTTGAACGTTTATCACAGACACAACTATAAGGTCTCCGGATAAGCAATATCCAATTTCCAATACATGTAACAAATGAATGGAATCAACATAGTGGCTAAATTGAGTACTTGTTTGTGGTAAACATGTGAAGGGATCACTGGTGTACCTTGAGTGGTTAAGTTCACAGATACTATATGAAGGCGCCGAGGGATCGTTGCACCGATGACTAGGTGGGTCCGTACAAGTTGGACCATGCCGAATGACATGACGCGAAAACAAACATCCGCTGGGAATGTAAGCTCCTGGAAGTCAAGTTCCTTGCGAAATACATTGCAAGGCTGCCAACACGCTGACAAGGGAGTTTAGTTGCAACTTAGATCGAATAAAGATTAGTGGGTCTGTTGGGTCTGGACAGTTTCCACTTTTCAAGCTCCGGAGTCAGCAGGTTTTGAGACAGTGAAGGTTTTCATGCTAGGGGAGTTTAGGCTGTTGGGTATGGGGGAACGTGAGAAGATCCCAGATGGTGATCTAGTGTTAAATTGACAACGATCATTCGTCGAAGAGTGTCTGCTATCAGATGAAGGAGAGCGGTTGCCGCGCTGCTTCGCCTCATCTCACTAATTATCATGACTTTATAGCGAGTTCCAGTTACAAAGGGCTGCTCTAAGCACGTCTGCTGCGGAGTTAAGTGTTGTTTTGCGACTTGGATTCAGGTCGAGGGCGTTGCGCAGCACTAATCCGTTGGTGACGGGGCAACTGGACTAAGTCAAGCGAAAATAAAATTATGTGCCTATTGTGGCCTTGGATTCGTCTAAAGCCTTTGGCCAGGTTGGCCGTCATCCCGTGTTCAGAAATTTCAGGTCACAGGTACGCTGAAGACCTTCTTGAAGTTACTAGAAGGCGATTCTATTTAAAGGTTGGTGACTAAGATATGAGCTGCCGCAAACAATAGCTACTACTGTTCCCTGTTATGTTTATGAGACCACTGATGAGAAACAAACAGAAACTGAACTTCAGGGCCATGTAAGGGGAATCTGAGTGGCCGAAGATAAAGGCGCTCCCGCTGAATGTAGAACTGATGTGGGTGGTTGTGAAGTAAACCTACCAAGGGGGTGTAGATGGTGTTCCACTCTGTCAGATGGTCAGAACGGGTTGCCCGCAAGACGGCTTGTGGTACATTGTGGGATGAAATCTCGCCACATTATTTGCCATCTATGGAGTTAACCGGGAGGTAAACTTCTGTTCCCACAGTCATTGGGTGAGCTGCATGATAAAAATTGACCATTAACACTTCACCTTGTGGAAAACAGACATCTGAAGAGTTGTAGGTGGGGATGAAAACCTTCGCCTACTTCAGAAGGACCCGATTAAGCTGAAGTTCTAGAAGCTAAAAAATGGTCTGAGCTTCAGTCTCCCTCATAGTATCAGAAACCATAATTCTGCCCGATCTACACGACCAAAATTTATGCTGTTTGAGCGTAGCGGCTGTCATCAGCATCCAATATATAGGACACCAGAATGTAGGGGAATGGCTGTGTTACTACTACGTAGCGCCCAACCAACCCCACCTACTTCGATGTAACCTAGCGGGTGCTTGGTCACCACCTCACCCAAAGTGTGGGTACTGATAATGAAACACAGATCAAAAGGATTAATATTCAGGAATATATCGGGAGCAGCAACATACTTAATTCGACTAAGTGTGATGGTGACTATTAGGGGCGAAGATTATCCAACTTACCTGACCAATATGGCTGAGCCAGGGACTCAGAGGATCTGTGCGCTAACCAGCACAAAAGAATTGCGAAATGGCGTCGAAGCCTTCCGGGATCGATGCTGTTTAAAATAAAACTTAGAGCACCCCAAGCGCCCGGAGGCGTGCTAGCGGATAATTTGGTTAATATTTAGTTTATTCAGCCCAATCTATTTGTTTTGGCCCCAATTACATTTTGGTGCCGGGAAGATGCGCTGCAAGTACCTGATTTTCAAAAACTGGAGACTTGGGAGATGTTTTCAACCTCAACTTAGGGCGTCTGCGCACTGCACTTATGTCAAAGGAAACAGTTTTGGTTATTTTTGTCGCTTCATAGAGCAGTCAAATGGTTCAACAAAGACATGTTACGGATAGCGTTTCTCAGGCTCTGCCAGACCCAATTTCGAATACTGCATCCAGTCAGCCTGCTTATGTTTCGCGGCAGATGCAGAAGCCATGGAGCGCACTGAAAGCTCTGGCGCCAAACTGATGACTGGTTTATTTGAGGTATCTTACAAAGACCATTGACAAGAACTTTCAGGAATGTCCTTGTGTGAACTTGACAGACCCAGGGGCTAATCACTACTTATTCGTACTTGTAATATGCCCACGAATACGAGACTAGGAAAGAACGCGATAGCGTGATTAGATGGAACAGTATATTTGCTAGGTTGCGCCATAATAACGCTGTGTTCCAACTACCCGGTTGGACGGTGGGTTACGAACAGCGCAACGTGTGACGATAGCGTCAAATGACGTAGATGCTTGACTATGTGCCTTCAGCTTGGCAGTTCTGAGAGTATTATGAGGGTGAGCACCAGTTTTGAATCGCGTCAGACCCCAGGCTATTGATTTTTGAGGAAAATGTGACATTAAAGATCTTGAGGACCCCAAAATACCACCAGCCGGAAGTAAAAATCCACTGGTTTAACCGCTGGTAAAACTACTGATAGGTTCGCTGCCAGAAGTGGCTTGAACTCATTCAAGTGTGTTATTGCAAAAGAAAAAGTACGACAAAGCGGACAGTGCCTCGATCATGATGCCAGCGTTCTTCGGCGCTGCTTCCAGTGCTGGAACACCTGGATGGGACAGCTGCTGCAATGTTTTGAAGGCGTTGCGTCGACATCTCTTCGGGACTACCGGGCGTGGCTGACCATTGGGGACATGGCATGAAATCGTATATTTGTCTGGTACTACTGGATACAGTCGTAGCTTAAAGTATGGACGGCAACGCATGGTGCAGCGCAAGGTTTTCTTTTTGACACCAGGCTAGTTCAACAAGATCAACCCCTTCGATACGGCTTATCGAGGCTATTCTAGACAACGATTCAGCTACGGAGTTGTTCCTTCCAGATATGCGGCAGATGTCTGGGGTGAACTGGGAAATGTAAGCCGGTCGTTGTGATTCGTGAGATGAGTATTTATCAGATGCTGAGCCAGGGGAGAAAGTTAGGGTTCGTGGACTGTGAAAATGGTGAGGTTACTACCTTCAACTGGATGTTGAAGGTGGCGGATAGAACAGTACATGGCCAAATATGCTGTGACTTCTTTCTGCTCCCTGCGGTTGCCCTGAGAAAAAGGTTAAGGACTGTCACTGGCTGTCGGTCAACCGTTGAAAAACTGCTCCAATCGCTGAGTCAGATGAATCAACAGAAAAACTCAAAGGAGCATCGGGATCGTGATGCATGGGCATGGTTTCACTTGAGATGGATTTCTTTGCTTTAGAGGAGGTGAGTCTGGTCACGTTGTTCAGAGTCACGCACTTCGTAGTTCCTCAAAGTAGACCTGTGGACGGTCCCGTAACAAGGGCTCAGTTCGGTAATAACTTACCAAGCCACTGAAAGTGTGAAGCCGCTTCACGGTGCTCGGCTCTGGATAGTTGATGATGATTGCCACTTTATTTCTCACTGGACGTATGCCTTTGTTGTCAGTAGTATACCCAAGGGGACTGGACGATTCGGCTCCTATTTCTAACTTCTGTACATTGACTGTGATACCATGCTTCCCCAGTCTACCGAATAAGAGGCTCAAATTTTCAAGGTGAGTTTCCTTGTCTGAAATCTCAGTGGGACAGTCAACGATGAAAACGTGGACAAAATCTAAGCCGCTGAAGACAGCATCAATGAAGTATTGGAATGTTTTTGCTGCATTTCGAAGACCAAGTGGCATGCGCGGGAGTTCAGACAACAAAATATGTTCATTACGCATAACGTCTCTGGTAAGTCATAGATACGAAGTATCGGGTAGCGGCTCGGTGTTGCTTTGGCGCTAAGCCATCGGTGTTCGCCGGTTGGGCGTCGCTGGTTGCTATCCTGTTTGAAAACGTATGCGGTGGTGGCGCCCGAGGACTGTTTAATGGTTCGATAGTGCCTGGTTTGAGCACGTGGCCGGATTCGCTTTTGCCGTTTTGAGTATATCAGGAGCTAGATGGCGTTATTTGGGTGCCACGGAAGGACCTATGGTTGTGACGTGATGCATAACACTGTTGGTTATGCACCGAAGAACATGCTCCGGTTGCTGCAACTCTGGGTATTTCTCCAACACTTCCTGATAGGGCGCGACGCTTGAATGTTTATTTCTAAAGATGGCGAAACTCAGACCTATGCAGGTGGTGCCGCCAATAAATAACTTTATGTTGTTATTTATCAGTAGTCGATGACGGGCATCTATGAGTAGATCGTGGTGGTTCAGCAAATCTTTGCCAATGATGGGCATAGAAATATCAGCTAAGAGGAAAATCCAGTGAACTGGTTTATGTAAACCTAAGTTGAGGTGGGCATACAGTCTCCAAAAGGTTGCGGTGGCTTCACCGTTGGCTGCTGGAAGATTGATGAATGGGCCATAGTAACGTTCCTTCGTCGTTGTGGGGGAATTGCTGGCTTCCGAGTCTGTATCGACGAGGTAGTGAACTTTCGTCTCTACGTCGGTGGCGTACAACAAACGGCTTTTTCCTCCGGTTGCCATTACTGGGTACCGGCGGGCAGTTTACCGAGTTTTTATCTATGTTGAAAGTGCGTGGTTTTCATCAATTTCTAGCTTCATCATCACACGTATCGTAAGGCCAGCACCATTTAGGGCATTCTGTCTCGTAGGGTTCAGTTGTTAGATAACCGTATGAGCTGTTGCAGTCGGCTGAAATACGTTCCTGTGTTGTGCTACGCAACCTAAGGCTTCGGGTCCGTAGAAGCTATCGAATAGAGTCTAACAGTTCCGTCATTTCTCAATCCCGGCTATTAGGTTTTTCGTAAATCGAACATACCATGGAGACAGGCCTGCTAGAAGCCCCAAATATTCCAACAAATGGGGGCTGCTAGATCATCGATTGCGACTGGCTTAAGTGTCGCCAACACGGTTTGGACCCACTGTGGTAGTTTTGAGGGAAACAAATCTCAGAAAAGGAGCCCGTGGGGCAATACCTCTTCACATGCGTGCAGGGACATAAGTAGCCGGCATTATGGAGCAATTCGTCTAAGCGCTGCGATCTGTGAGATTGTAGTGCCTAGTGAACTTGGTTATAATTTCCGTTGTAAACTTTATATTCACCATTGGCTGCAATTGAATGATGAACAACTTTTAATGTACTCCTTGGATTTCGCCCGCTCAACTCGCCCACTAGAACGCCTGGGATAAACGCGTTATACTTCTACTACTGCCTTCTTATTTGCTACTTTGTGGTTGTCTAAAACAAGTCGTTAATAGCGTTAGCCATAAGCCCCTGGGTCCAACATTGGTGAGCCCGATAACGTGCATTGTTGCATTTATTCATTTTAATTGTTTGTCTATTAATTTTGATTTTCGTCTTTAAAAATATGCCTAACCTCATTGATTTTGATTCCGATATTGTCGATGAATGCGTTTCCCTGGAGGCTGACACTTTAGTTGCGAATGAAAATCGATTACCAGCCCTCGATAAGCAAGACCCAGAACTATGGCTCCCCAGCTGGAACGTTTCTTTGACCGACATCACATAAAGTCAGGGAAACTGAGGTACAAAGGCTTGTCCTCCATTCTTCCTCTTTCAGTCGGTAAAGAGATCCTTGATCTCATGATCAATGCCCCTGAAGAAGACCCTTATTCCACTCTTAAGCGTGCGATAATAAGACGTCTATCAATGTCAGACAGCCGACGCACCCAACGCCTGCTACAAGGGAAGATGCTGGGAGATAGACCCCCATCGCAGTTTTTGAGACACAAAAGATAGTGGGAGAAAATGCAGTTGGAGAAGCCATCCTCAAGGAAGGTTGGATACAGGCACTGCCGCATCATTTCCAGTGTGCACTCGACGCACAGGACCCGAAAACCCCGCTTATAGAATTGGCCCAAGTTGCCGATCGCATTATGGAGAGAGGAAAGGTCAGAGACAACCACTTATAACTGCATACTAGTCCTGGCTCGTCTAAGTACGCTGTCATCACCGAGTTAGTAGTAAACGTGAAGTCACCAACGGAAGCTGTGGCTAAACTCCAACTGAATCAAAG